GGTCAGCTACTCGATCATCCGGCCCGACGTGGCGTAGCGCAGCGGCCTCAGCGTGGCGCCTGCTTGGCCAGCATCTTCCGCCACTTCTTCTGGCCGTTCTTCACGACGCTACCCGGGATGGTGGAGTAGAAGTCGTACCCCAAGCGGTTGTTGGCGGCCATCTCCTCGAAGGTGGCGTAGAGCACGCCGTCACGACCCGGGAACACCGGGTCGCTGTTCTCGAGCCGGTAGAACCTGGCCCAGTAGACATCCGTCGACGCGGGGTCTTTCACGTAGACCGTCTTGCCATCGCGTTTGGTCTTCACGACATCGGTCACCTTGGCGCGGTCGAGCCACGCCAAGCCCCCCTCGATCACTTCCTGCAGCTCCGGCGACGGGGCGGGGACGCCCATCAGGAACTTTAGCAGCCGAGCGCTCTCGACGCTGGCTAGCGTGGCGGGCTCCATTGCCCGCGCGGCGACCGGCTGGAGGGTGAGGGCGTCGTGCTGGGCGCACCAGGCGGTCCGCTGGCCCTCCACGTTGATCTGCATCGCCCGCACGCAGTTGAAGCCTCGATGCAGCGCCGCTGCGGCCGCCTGCCGGTCGGGGTCGGTGACAAACGCGTAGCTCGGCTCGCCGCTCGCCACGCCGTGCAGCAGCTCAAGCACGTGGGTCATGGCGTCGTCGTTGAAGGTGATCGAATCGTGGTAGTCGCCCTCGAGCGGGTAGACCTGAGGCCAGCCACCGTTGGGGTACTGAGCCGCCAGTACGTAGTGGAGCCCTTTGACGAAGGCGTCGGCGCACTCTTGGCGGCCGGTCGCCTGCCAGACGCCGGCCAAGAAGTTAAGCTGCTCGGTTGTCGACCGATTGTCGAAGGTCGCCAGGTAGTGTGCGGAGCTCCCCGGCTCGTTCTGCGATGTCCACTGCATCCCCGGCTCACGCCGGCCGTGGCTGTAACCGGTGTGCTTCGACCAGCCCCCCGAGGGGGTTTGGTAGGAAAGCACAACGCCGACCAGCTCGGCCGCCTCCGGAGAGGCGAACCATGGGTCGCCGAGCTTGACCGAGAGCTTGAAGTCGCCGCCCGACGGCGCACGATTGGCCTGCGCAATTCCTGCGGCGGTGACCTCGGCCGCCAGTGCGTCGGCGTCCTGCTTGGCGAGGGACTCCGATCGCTTCAGGTAAGCCAGCCACGCTTGCTGCTCAGACGATTCGAGCCCCGCCACCCGCTGCGGGGTGACTGGCTCGGCGCCAACGCGGGACTCACCGGCCAACGCCAGACCAAACCCAACCGTCAATACAGCGAGCGAAGTTCGAGCAATCATCTTGGTCTCAAGAGCAAGAGGAGAGTGGTGCGCGGCGTTCAGCAGAGCCACGGCAGGCCTGCCGGAGAGAGCAACCCCCACGGCGCCCTCATGAGCATAGACAATCCGCCCGCGTTTCTCCCGGCGACGTTACCGCGACAGTTGCAAAACGGACTCCGCCGCACGCAGCAAAGGGCCTCTGTCGGATAGCGAGCCGCTCAGCCGAGAACGTGGCCGACAAACCGCCGCAGCAGCCCGTTGGCTTCGGGGGTGTCCCGGAGTGCGACCCGCAGGTCGTCAAGCGGCATGCCGGCGAACTGCTGGACGTACTTGGGGTACGCCACCAGCCGCTGCAAGATGGTCTCGCGCGTCAGCTCCGGGTGGAACTGCGTCGCGTAGATCGGCAGTCCGGGGAACGTGTAGGCCTGTTCCGCGACCCGCTCGCTCGACGCCAACAGCACGGCGCCCGCGGGGAGTTGGGTGACGTGGTCCTCGTGACCGGCCAGGCCCAGGAAGCGGGCGGGCAGGGCGGAGAAGACCGGATCCTGCTGGCCGGCGCTGGTCAGGTGAAGCTCGACGTTGCCGAGCTCGGCGTTAGCGGGGTCGTGCTCACAACGGCCGCCCAGCGCCCGGGCGAAAGCCTGAAAACCCCAACACGACGCGAACGTCGGCTTGCTGGCCGCGTGAAGCTCGCGGAGCCCTTCCAGTATCCGGTCGAGCCATTCACCGTCTGTGGCGGCCGAGTAGTCGCCACTGCCGCCGATCAGCACCGCGTCGTGGCGCGCAACTTCTGAGGGCTCTGGAAACGAGCCGAGCACGCTGAACGGCGTCACCCGCGACGGCTCACAGCCAAGCGCCTCGGCGAAACAGCCGACCTCCTGCGGCGCAATCGGGTCTTGGTCGTTGCGAACCTGCAGCAACAGAAAGCGGGCGTTGGCGGGCGCGGTCACGGCACGGCGGCCCCTGTGGCGAACGGGATTCCCGTCGCCTCGGCGATGCCCTCCTCGATGACGTCCATCATGCGATCGATCTCCGCCAGGCTGATCGCGAGCGGGGGCATCACGTACACCATGCCAGGCTGGGGCCGTATCCAGAGCCCGTGCTCAAGCGCGTACGCGGCCACCTGACGGCCCACCTGGGAGTCTTCCGTGTAGTCCGCCGCCGCGATGATGCCTGTCTGGCGGGCGTTGGTGACGTTCGGGTGCTCGGCCAGGCGGCAGAAGCGTTCGCCGAGCCGTTCAACCTTGGCCGTGAGCATCTGGAGCGTGCGTTCTGACTCGAACAGGTCGAGGCAAGCCAGCGCGGCCGCGGCTGAGGCAGGGTTCCCGCAGAAGGTGTGGCCGTGGTACAGCGCCCGGCCGCTCGCGGCGTCCCCCAGGAACGCGTCGTAAACCGCGTTGGTTGTGAGGGTTGCGGCCATCGGCAGGTAGCCGCCCGTGAGCCCCTTGCCCAGGCAGAGGAAGTCCGGGGTGACCTGGTCGTGCTCGCAGGCGAACATCCGACCCGTTTTGCCAAAGCCGACCGCCACCTCGTCCAGGATGAGCAGCACGTCGTGCTTGGTGCAGAGCTCCCGCAGCCCGCCCAGGAAGCCGGGTGGGTGCATCACCATCCCGGCGGCGCACTGCACCAGCGGCTCGATCACCACCGCGGCCAGCTCATCGGCGTGCTGGGCAATGAGCTTTTCGGTCTCCGCCAAGTAGTGGTCGCAGGCCGCCTCAGGCGCAACGCCTTCCGGCAGTTTGCAGCGGTCGGGGCCCGGGGCGTAGACCGCGTCGAACAGCAGCGGCTTGAACAGCGCGTGGAACTTGTCGATCCCCCCGACGCTCGCGGCGCCGATGGTGTCGCCGTGGTAGGCGGCGCCGAACGCCAGGAAGCGGGACTTGCCGGGCCGCGGCTGGGGGCACTGCTGCCAGTACTGGAAGGCCGCCTTCAACGCGACCTCGATCGCGGACGATCCATCGCTGGAGAACAGTACCCGGTCCAGGCCGGCCGGCGTGAGGTCGACCAGACGCTTGGCGAGCCGCACCGTGGTGTCGCAGCCCATCCCCAGCGAGGTGATGTGCGCGGCCTGCTGCAACTGCTCCACAACCGCCTGATTGATCGCCGGGTGCGCGTGCCCGTGCACGTTGCACCACATGCTGCTGGCCCCGTCCAAGTAGCGGCGTCCGTCGGCGCCGATCAGCTCGCAGCCCTCGGCGGCGGCGATCACCAGCGGTTCGTACTCCTGCATCTGGGTGAACGAGTGCCAGAAGTGGTCCCGGTCCCAGGCGGCCAGCTGCTGGGCCGCGTCGTGGTCGCTCATCCCCAAACTACCTCTACGGGCGTCCCCACCGTCACGCCGAGCATGGCGGCGGCGCTGTCGTTCACAATGGCGAGCTCGAGCCGCTCGCTGGACCCCACCAGGGCGATCAGCGTCATCTCGGGCTGGTCGCCGTAAGCCGTGAACAGGCCTATGGTTTGGTGCCCGTCGCAGATCACCTGCACGGACTCGTCCCGCGGGGCTGATTCGAGCATGGAGCTGGTGATATTCGTGATCAGGTTGCCGAACGAGTCGACCTCGACCACTTCTCCCTGGATCCGTTCCCCCACGCGTTCCGCCCTTGGTTCGGGAAGCAATACTAGCTCGTCTAATGGTGGCCCCAGTGTATCAGGGCAGAGCCCCAAGCCCAACTTGGCCGCCACAGGCGCCATGATGTCCCGCCCGTGGAAAGTCGAGCTAACGTCGGGGAGCCAATGCTCCCGGTTCTCGATGGCCACTATCCTATGGGGCGGGTAGGACGCGGCCAAGCTTGTCAGCAGGCCGTTGTCGGGCAGCACAAACCGCCAGTCCCCCAGTTCCGCATACACAATCCGCCGCGAGGTGCCGACGCCGGGGTCCACCACGGCCACGTGGATCGTACCCTTCGGGAACCATGGCGCCGCGGCGGCCAGCGCCTGGGCGCCATCCCAGACCGACTGCGCCGGTACGCTGTGCGACAGGTCTACCACCCGCGCATCCGGGTGGATCGTGGCGATGACCCCCTTCATCGACGCCACGTAGTGGCTGCCCTCTCCAAAGTCGGTGGTCAGCGTGATCCAGGTCATGGTTGTTCAATGTAACGCCCGGGCCACCGCTGCGTGCCGCAACAACTACCCATTCACTGACCATTGCCAACTTGTCGCGCGGACGTGCGCGCGTAACGCTCACCGAGGTGCGCCGAAAGTTTTTTTGACTTTTTTGCAACAAGCATCACAAGCAACCATCAAATCGCGCGCGATTGAAGGTCACAACGGCGCTTCGCGACGCCGCTGCGCGCGTTCTTAGCGGGCATCCCAACGAAGTGGAACGAACCACTACAGCGCGCACCGCGCGAAGGTAATTGGAAGGCTCAATGTTAGTAGAGCGATGCTCGAAACAGCTCGCGCAGCGGCACCCGGAAGGCGTTGCGGGCGCCCGGCGGGCGACCCGCCCTAAGGGCGCCGAAGGCCCGGCGACGCCGGTGTCCACCTGACGCAAACCATTTCCAAATAGCCACTTACGCAATCGCCTTGCTTGTCGCCGGGGGCACAGCCTACCATAGAAGTGATGCCAGAACGCGGCGTCAGCCCCCCTTTTTGGCCGCCGGAGCGCGGCACGACGATGCGACGCTGACCTTGTCGGTCACTCCTCCTGGCTGGAAGCCTCGAGGGCCCCTCTGCATCGTCTGAGTGTGACCTTCGTTAACGCTCAAGCTACTTACCATGAAGCATCACAGCAACGCTCGTGCCAAAACACCGAAGGCAGTCGCCCGAGGACGCAACGCGACCCCCGCTGCGCGCTTCAAGCAACGCGCGCGGCCGCAGTCGCGGCGGTGCGTTGGCAGCCAAGACATCGCCCAGCCGTTCAGCCCGCCAGAGGACTGGCACGAGCCGGTCGGCGACGGCTCTCCCTACCGCGTGAAGGTGCAGGACCCCGGCAAGGGCTACCGCCACGTGGTGACCCCGCAGCAGGTCCGCGACCGCCTGGCCGAGCTCCCCGAGCGGTTTCTCGAAGGCCTGGAGCTTGTGCAGCTGTCGCGGGTTACCCGGAAGAAGCAGAGTTTTCCCTGCTACGGCATGCAGTGGGGCGCCACGCTCTACCTCTACCCGCTGGAAGAGTCGCTGGTCGAGACCTTCTACTCGCCGCCGGGGCCGGACACGGTGAATGAGTCGAAGATGTACGGCGGCCGTTGGGCCCAGCCCGAGCCGGGCGTGTGGACCCTGACCTGGACGGAGGAGACCGTCCGCGACTACTACCTCAACAACATCCTGATCCACGAGCTCGGCCACCTGCTGGACGAGCGGAACTCGTCTTACACGGACCGGGAACGGTACGCCGAGTGGTTCGCCATCCACTACGGCTACCTGGCCACCGGCGGCCGGCAGAGCCGTCGGCCACGGCAAAAGGTGCGACGCCGCCACCACGCGGGCTAACCCGCACCACGCAGGCTGGATTTGGCCTCGCGCCGGGGCGTCGATTAGAATCGGGGGCGGCCCGCCCCTTCTCACCCCCAAAGCATGGTCATGATCCGACCACTCAAGAGGAACACCCGCGCCGCCTGCGCGCTCCTAGCCTTCTTCTCGCTCTGCGCCACGCTGCCGGCGGCCACGCTCAGAGAGCAGCGGGACGACCTGCGCCGCGCCGCGACGCTGCTCAAGGCGTCGGCGCGGCTGGCCGAGCAGGGCCGCGGCGAGGACGCCCTCACTCAGTACGCCGAGGCCCAGGAAAAGGTCCTGGGGGTCGCCAAAGAGCTCGACCCCAAACTACAGCGGACCTACGCCCGCGCCGCCGAGCAGCTAGCCGAGACCCACAAGCTGCTGACCGCCCGCGGGCTGCAGCCGCCGGAACTGCCGTCGACCGACCCCGCGGCGCCGCAGGAAGCACAGGAGGCGCCAGGCCGACGAGGGCCCCAGCCCGAGATGGCCGGCGGCCGGTTCGACCGCGGCGACATCAGCTTCACCAACCAGGTGGCGCCGCTGCTGGTCGAGAAGTGCGGACGCTGCCATGTGGACGGCTCGCGTGGCAACTTCAACATGGCCACCTACAACAGCCTGATCCAGGGGTCGGAGACCGGGCGCGTGCTGGTGCCGGGCGAGGGGACCGGCGGCGTGCTGATGGACAACCTTGAGTCGGGCTCGATGCCGCCCGGCCGCCCGCTCGCCCCCCAGGAGATGTCGCTCATCTCACGCTGGATCACCCAGGGCGCCAAGTTCGATGGCGACAACCCCGACGCCAACCTGAAGAACCTGCAGCAGGGCTCATCTGAGCCAAAGGCCCCCGCCGCCAAGCCCGATGCCACACGGGCCACCGGCGACGAGACCGTCAGCTTCGCCCTCGACGTCGCGCCGATCCTGATGGACCGCTGCGCGAACTGCCACGTGGCCGACAACCGCGGCCAGCTCCGCTTCGCCGCGTTCCAGCAGCTCATCGACTCGTCGACCATCGCCCCCGGCGACCCCGCGGGCAGCGAACTGATCCAGCGGCTCCTCCCCGACGCCGAACGCCGGATGCCGCAGGGCGGACCGCCGCTCTCCGATGAGCAGATCGCGACCATCACCACCTGGGTCCGCGAGGGGGCGCGCTTCGACGGGCAGACCCCCACCGAGCCCCTGACCCGCAGCACCGCGTTCGTCCGGGCGCAGCGGGCCACGCCGGAGGAGCTGACCCAGATGCGGGAGCAGCTCTCGGCGGACAACTGGCGACTGGGCATCCCCGACGAGCAGGCGAGCCGCACCTCGAGCGACCGCTACCTGGTGGTCGGTTTGCTCCCCGAGCAGCGCCTAAAGGAGATCGCCACGGCGGCCGAGGCGACCACGTCCGCCATCCAGAAGAGCATGGGGCTTTCGCCGGGCGGGATGCTCGGCAAGGCCAAGCAGACGCTGTACGTGTTCGACCAGCGGATCGACTACGGCGAGTTCGTCCGCATGGTGGAGCAGCGGCAACTCCCCGACGACGCCGGCGGCCACGCCCGTTTCGACCCCGTGGACCCGTACGCCTGCCTCAACGTGCCGACCGACCAGGACCCGATCGCCGACGCGGCGTTCGCCAAGCAGCTTGCTGCGCTGGTGATCGCCCAGCACAGCGGCGGCCGGGCGCCCGACTGGTTTGTCGAAGGCGCCGCACGCTACGCGGCGGGCAAAGCCAACCCCAAGGACCCACGCGTCGAGCGGTGGGTCGACGGCCTCCGTTCGGCGGCGACCGGCATGCGGCAGCCCACTTCGTTCATGACCGGCGACATGCCGCCCGCAGACGCGGGCGTCGTCAGCCTGCACTTCGTGGTCGGCATGGCCCGCAACAGCCGCGCGTTCAGCGGGCTGCTAGACGACCTTAGCGCGGGCGAGGAGTTCGACGCCGCGTTCGCGAAACGCTACAAGGCGTCGCCGCAAGACGTTGCGAGCAAGTGGGCGGAAGCCCTGAAACAACGCGGCTGAAGCTACGCCGCCTTGCGGTCGACGAACTTGTCGCCAACCGACAGGCGGATCGCCTCGACCGGATCGGACGACAGCGACTCGAGGTGGCGCCGCTTCTTGGCGATCTTGCGCCGCTCGCCCAGCCGGAACGCCCAGTCCATGACGCCGGGCACCAGGCACTTGATGCCGTAGGTCAGCCGTGCAAACGGCTCCGCCACCACCCGCCGGCGGTTGCGAACAATCGCCCGCACCGCGTGCCGGGCGATCGACTCCGGGGTGGCGCACATGAAGCCGGGCGGCTTGCGGGTTTCTCCGCCGTCGACCATCGGCCGGGCCGAGCTGAACAGGTTGGTCTTCACGAACCCTGGGCAGAGCGCCGTGACGCCGAGCCCCTGACGGCCGTACTCCGCCCGCAGCGACTCACTAAAGCCCACCATCGCGAACTTGGTGGTGCAGTAAAGGGCCACCCGCGGCAGCCCCACCAGTCCCAGCACGCTGCAGACATTCAGCACATGGGCCTGCGGCCGGGCCAGCATCCACGGCAGCAGGCGGTGGGTCAGCGTGACCGGCCCTGCCAGGTTGGTGGCCAGCAGGTTGTCGCACTCGTCCGGGGGCATCTGATGGGTGATGCCGTAGAAGGTGATCCCGGCATTGTTCACCAGGATGTCGACGCCCGCCCAAAGCTCAACGGCGTGATCGACAAGCGACTCGACCTCCGCCGTCTGGCGGAGGTCGCACCGCATGGTCTCGGCGTCCACACCCAAAGCCCCGGCCTCGGCGGCGACCGCCTGCAGGCCGACCTGGTTGACGTCGACCAGCAGCAGGTCCACCCTCTCCCGCGCCAGCCGCAGCGCGATCTCGCGGCCTATCCCCGAGGCGGCCCCGGTCACTAGCGCTCGCTTGCCGGCCAGGTTTCGCATGGGTAGCTGCCGCTCGGGTTGGTTGCCGGGTATCTGCGCCGTTCTGCTGCTAGGCGGCCGGCGCCAGCACACGCGAGAACTCGCCCCGCTCCAGCGCCTCGGCCGGGATGGTCCGGCTGAGGTGGTGGCGGTCCTCGCCCCGCAGCAGGCACACGCCCCACTTGTCCAGGTGGTACTTACCGCCGTTGTAGACGCTGCGATAGTACTTCTTATTGGGATACGCCGCCACATTGGTTGGCGTGACCCGCAGGTTGAACGCCAGGCGGTGGCGGTTGGTGGTGTTGGGCGCCGAGCCGTGGATGCACCGCTCGGTAAAGATGATGAACTGCCCGGGCTTGCAGGGCACCTCGACGCACTCGGTCTCGTCCTCGGAAAAGTCGAGCTCGTAGGCCGCGTTGTAGAAGCCCTCCTTGCCGCCGAACTTGATCTTGCGGACCCGGTCGTGCGTTCCCTTGGCGAACCGCAGGGCGCCGTTCTCGGTGGTCGACTCGTCCACGGCCACCCAGACGGTGATCTGGAAGATCTCGTCGCGGTTGGCTGGGAAGATGGCGGGGTCCTGGTAATCCTCCACCATAAAGGTGCTGGCCTGGTGCCACTGGATGGCCGGCGCGCCCGGTCCCTTGTAGAAGATCTGCGAGCGCCAGCAGTTGAGGTCGGGGCCCAGGATCTGGGCGACCCGCTCGGTGATGGCCGGGCTCTTCATGTAGTTCCACAGCCGAGGCATCTCGAAGTGCCGGTCGCGTGGCGTGACAAAGTTGTAGGTCTTGTTGACGCGGTTCTCGATCGCCAGCAGGTCGGCCTTGAAGTCGAGCATCTGCTCGCGGCTGAACGCGTCGAACGGTCCGGCGAAGCCGTTGGTGTAGAAGCCCTTGAGCTGCTCCTGGCTCATCCGGAACTCGGGGGCGACGTCGGCCTTCGGCTCGATCTTCGCCGGCATCTTGAAGGTGCACGGCTGATCGATGTAGGCGCTGGTCAGCCCGCTGCCGATCAGCTCGCGGAACATCGAGTAGTCCCAGTTGTTGACGATCGCCTTGATGTCACGCGGCAGGATGTTGCGAGGCAGCCCCGAAGCCTTGTAGGCCATCAGGCCTCCAAGCCCAGCGCACAGCGGCATCCGCTGCCAGAAAGGACGGACTTTGGGGTGCATGTTCATCGAGTAGACTCCTGCAACTCGCAAGGGGGATGGGGCTCTGACCAACCGGACACGCTCCCGCCATCCATTGGCAAGATATTCCGGTTAGCAAGAGTTATCGGATAATCCCGAGCAGGAGATTAACGGGCAAGGCCAATACGAGATCGAATCTCGGAAACCGCGGCGCCAGCAACGCCAGCAGCCACTAGCGCACACAAGCAGCCCAGCAGAGCGGCGCCGCTGCACGGCGGCCGCCCTTGCTGGGCTGTCTGCCCCAAAGGTCGAATTCTCTTTGAGCGGGCGCGGGCCTAAGCGCGGCGGGGCCGCCGCAGGGCGGCCGCTCCGGCCGCCAGCAGCAGCGTTGCTGCGGCGGGCTCCGGCGCGCCGGTCGCAGCGGTAGAGGCCGCCGCCGAGGTGCCGTAGTTCGACCGCCAAGCGGCGTAGTCGCCGGCGTCGACGGTCCCCGATCCGTCGCCGGCGCCGGCCGGCAGCACGGACTCGTCGGCGCCAAGATTGTCACGCCACACGGTGTAGTCGGCGGCGTC